CTGAGCATCTTAGTTCTACACCGGGTCGCACACTGAACCAATGAGCTATTAGGGCAAGAGTCACGTTTTGTAAATTGACCGACAGTGAACTCTTTCCTTCTGTGTCTGATCTGTCACAGGAGAAAGAAATTGAAAAGCAGACACAGTAGAGAGAGAGCTGTTAATTAAGCTCCCCAGTGACTGCAGGTTCAAATGCTACTCCAGCCCAGAGCTCCACAGAGACACAGAATTGTTACAGTGCAGAGAGACCCATCATGTCTGTACCAGTTCTTCAAACAGGTTCACTCAGTGACATTCTCCCACCTTCTCCTCATAACCCTGTGCTTTCTTCCTTTTCACATTATACTCCAATTCCCTCCTGAAAGCAGTTATTGGATCTACTTGCACCACAGGCTCAAGCAACACTGTCCAGACCCTCAGTACTTCCTTTGAAAATAAAAACCTATTTTTTACCCCCGCATCGCTTTTGCTTCTTTTACCAAATGCTTTAAATCTGTTCCCTCTCATTCTCAAACCTTTCATGTGTAGAAACAATTACTCACATGGGAACTTCCTATGCACGTACAAATTAAGAGCAGAAGTAAACCACTGGGCCTCTTGAGCCTGCTGCACCATTGAATTAGATTGTGGTTGATCTGACTGTGATCTCAACCCCACATTCCACGAGCAAATAACCATCAATTCCCTTGTTAGTCAAGTATCAATCTTCTCTGCCTTAAAAATATTCTATGACTTCGCCTCCTGCATGCTTTTGGGCGAGAGTTCCACAGGCTCACGACCCACAGAGGAAAAATGCGACCTCGTCTCCATCTGAAATGTAAGACCTCATTTTTAACCTGTGTCCCCCCACCTAGTCTCTCCCACAAGGAGAAAACATCCTTTAAGCACCTGCCTTGTCACATCTCCTGTGTGCAAATTGGCTGCCATGTCATCTAAAAACAAACTCAAAATGCTTTAAAGAAAAATTAATGAGTTCCTTGGCTCAAGAATATTATGGGATGCCCTGAAGATGTGAAAATATATTACAAATTTATGTTCATTTTCCCAAACGAATTGATTGTATCTACTGCTTGTGCACCTATGCAACTGCTCATCTCTCCATGCACCTTTCCTTTCTGCCGCTAATTCTACAAACACTTAAACCCCACTAAAAAGCATATGTCCTGAATGGCTGTTCAGGAACTTATGGAAATCTAGCCAAGCTCTCCATCCAACCTACCACACGCACTTCAAAAGGTTTTTGTCCAGGTTTGCAAGTTCCTCCAACCTCTGCACAATCCTCAACCAAGGCTGGGTGAGGCATTCTCACCTCTGAATCAGGAAGCTATGACATCCAGAGGGTTGGGGGGACAATGAAAATCCAGGCTGGCACTGCCAGTGCAATGCTGAGGTAGTGCATCAGCCATGCCATCTTTCAGGTGAGATGTTCATCCGAGGCCCCATGTACCCTATCAAGTGGCTGCAAGAGATCTCAGTTTGAAGACGAGCTGAACAGATCCTTGTGTACTGACCAGTATTTGTCCCTCACTTGACATTACTAAAATAGACTATCTGCACGTTAATAAATTCACAGTCTTGTTGCTTACATTATGACAGCAACAACATTTTTAAAATGTATTCAATTGGCTGTATTGCACTGAAAGAGATATCCTGAGGTTGTGAAAATCGCTATGCAAATTCAAGGCTTTTTTTTTAGCTCAACAGTCTCGTCTGTCGGCCCTTGGCTATCCTCATTGCTCACTCCACCTTAGTTTCCACACTGCCTTCCTAGCAACCATGCTTTTGCTCTGAATCTCACCTACCTCGAACTGCCCTGCTCCAGCAGCTGATCATCCTACCCAAGCGACAGCTCATGGAAGACTCTGCGTTTTGCCTGATGAAAACGTGATATAAAACAGAAGGTGTTGCCACATCAGGAAATGAAGCTCGGCCCCTTCAACATTCCGATAAGGAATTGGGTTCATGAAGTACTTACGCAGAGCAAGCGTCAGCTGCTTCAGGGATAGTGTGGAGAGATGGATGGTGCTGCTTTAATCGAGGGTGCTAAGTCGCAATAATGTTTTCTAATGCAGAGAGTGAGACAGACTGCAAAATCCATTTGGACATGTGGAACTGTGTTCAGTCTTTGAGGCAACAAAATACTAGACGTTTTACACTGCAGTGAATGAAACCCCTTCTTAATATAACAATCCAAAATGAAAACCCATAGAGATTTCATCCTTGTCATCTCTTGGCTCCTGTATATTGGACTCAATGTCTTCACCTCTACAATCTTCCAGCAAAATATGTTCTTCTGCACGGTCCAGCACTTTTGTCCACATTGTATTAGCCTACATATCTCCCCTCCAGCTTCACACCACCACAAGTAACTTAGCTTCCAGCCGCTGACCTCTGTCCATTTGTTCTTTTGTTCTTGAGCAATGAGGAGTACGGCACAGGAATGATCCCTTCGGCCCTCCAAGCCTGTGCCGATCATCATGCCCTGACTAAACAAAAATAAAATCAAACCTTCTGCCCTTATTTGGTCTGTATCCCTTTATTCCCTCTCTATTCATGTAACCATCCAGATGCCTCTTAAATATCAGCAACGTGCCTGCTTCCACCACCTCCTCTGGCAGTGCATTCCAGGCTCCTAACACTCTCTGCGTGAAAAACTTTCCTCGTACATATCCCTTTAACTTTTGCCCTCTCACCTTGAATGTGCACCACCTTGTAATTGAAACTTCAACTCTGGGAAAAAGCCTCTGACTATCCACCTTATCTTTGCCCCTCATAATTTTGTAGACCTCTATCAGGTATCTTCTCAGCCACTGTCTTTCCAGTGAAAACAATCCTAGTTTTTTTAACCTTTCCTCATAGCCAATGCCCTCGAGACCAGGCAACATCCTGGTGAACCTTCTCTACACTGTCTCCAAAGCTTCCACATCCTTCTGGTAATGTGGTGACCAAAACTGCACACAATACTCTAAATGTAACCTAACAAGGGTTTTATATAGCTGCCCCCTGAACCATTGCCTTTTACTATTTCACAGAATCTTACAGCCTAGCAGAAAGCTGTTTGGCCCATCGTGTTTGTACCAACTCTTTAAAAGGGCTCTCTAAATAGTCCCAATTCCCTCACTCTTTTGCCAAAACCCTGTCATTTTTCTCTCCTTCAAGTATTTATCCACTTCCCCCTTTAGAAAGTTCCTAATGAATTTGCTTCCACTGCCCTGTCAAGCATACTTTTCAGATCTCAATAAATTGCTGCATTAAAAAATCCCTTATGACCCTTCTGGGTCTTTTGCCAATTGTCTTAAATCTGTATCTGTCTGACTACAAAATCTCCTATCAAAAGCAACAATTTCTCCTCATTTAGTCAATCAAAACCCATTATGATTTCAACAGCTTCTATCATTTCTCTATTCTGACGAGAACAATTTCAGCTTCTCCACACAACGATTTCCCAGGCAATAATCCTCCTTCGCATCCATCCCTTTCCCAAAAAGCTTCTTCGGGATTTGATGTGTCGTCGGTCATATTCCCCTGTTTTGTTATTCCAAGGTGATCCATCTGCCTTCCCAGGTGGAACTGAATGGTCAGAAAGGGAAGTATTTGAGGGGGAAAAAAGATGTTGCCTAGCCAACATCGCCTGCCAGAATGAAACGTCAACAACCAGATTAGCAGATCATTTCTTCAATTGCCTTCGCAACTGTGGCTCCAGATTTGAGTCTCACTCCAGGGCTCAATGGCCAAAAAAAAAAGGTGCGATTATAACATGACCAAACAAGTTGTTTACCAGCCTTCAAATTCTCTTGCAGGTGGCAAAACTGGAAGAGTCTCCCAATCAACCCTGCTTGATGTGGAGTGGCATTCCTCATTATTATAGCCTCTGATTTTAGGCTAGCAAGCTGTTCAAAGGAAAAGCCAGCTATGTAAACATATAGTTTCATCTACCCTACAAAGCCGTCTATGTCTTTACAACTCTCCCAAAGATAAGCTTTTGAAGTCCTTTGGAATTGCGTTGATGGTTGTATAAATCAGAACACAAGAATGAGGAGTATGAGAATTCCAAAGAAGAGATTGAACATGTTAAATCTGTTTGGCTTCCTGCAGTTGCTGCCAGACCCACTGAATTTCTGCAGCACTCTCTATTTTTATTGCAGGGCTATAGAGTACGCCATTCAGCCCTTGAGGGGCTTCACCATTCAGTACAATCATGGCTGATCTGATTATGGCCTCAGCTCCACTTTCCTGTCTGCCCTCAATAATCCTTGATTCCCTCATGGAGCAAAGATTTATCCAACTCAGCTGCCACTGTTCTCCAGAGAAGAGGGCTTCAAAGACTAATAACCCTGTGTGAGAAAAAAACTTCGACTCATCTTCACCCAATTTTTAAGCTGCGTCCCTGGAGACTCCCCCATGAAGAGGAAATATCCTCTTTGCATCCACCCTCCAAGTTTCCCTCAGGATTTTGTGTTTCAATAATGAATTTTTTTTTGTTTTTCTCGCCCACTGTTTGTCACCTCCACACTTTGGCACTCAGTACTTATTTAATCCCATGAAATGGGTCGTCTAAATATAAACTGTTGTTGTCACATCAAAGCAAGACTTGGCAGATCTAGACTCAGCCCACCTGTCCAAAGTTCAGCGCTGGGTTTTCATAGGAAAACTTCCCAAAAACTGTCTTTTAAAACAGCCTTGATACACCCTGAAGCCACAAAAAGGCCAGACAGTCTCTCTTTTTCGGCTTTTATTAAGCCGTAAAGATTAAGTTTGCACAGGTGATTGGCCATAGCCTTAACAGTCGAAAGCACAGACTGACAGCGCTTACAATAAATATGGGTAAGAGAAGGGAGTGTGTGTCTGAGAGATTGTGGGTGGGTGTGTGAAAATTGAGTGAAAGAGATTGAGTGAGGGTATGTGAGTGACTATAAATGATTGGGAGTGTGCGTGTGAATGAGAGAGTGAGTTTAATAAAGACTAACTCTCCAGGAAACACTTCACTCCGAACCGCTTACCTGATATCCCCATATCCAAAACTTCATAGTCCTCTGCGATTACATTTCTTGAGCTGCCATGCGCGAATCTGTTTCCCATTGGAGGATCAGAAATTACTGCAAACCGTTTATCTCTCAGTTTTAACTCCAAATTGTGCTTTCTGGAGAAGGTGTTGGGGGGTAAGTTTGTCTGGAACTCTCCCTCCTTCTAGTCCAGAGATACACATAGACGGTCTCCGGAGATGCAGGTTAAAGAAACGATGGGACAGTTTCAAGGACTCCCGGAGGGTTGTTTCTGTTCTGATTTCTGTCTCTGCCTGTCAAAAGCAAACTGCACAAGGAGCAGAACCTAGGCGCAGCCTCTTCTCTCTCTCTTTTTCTGGAGTTCTTGAGAGTCGCGGGGTGGGGGTGAATTTAAAGAGGAGACATGGAAGCCAGGATTTGCCTCGGATATCCGAGCACTGCTCTTTGAGACGCCGAACTCCCTTCCCACGCACCTCGGAGCACGATTCCAGCCAGGCCCCCAGCGCTTACACAAAACACGTGTCCGAGGGCAGCTTAATATACAAGCTTCTGAAAGTCTTTCACTGGGAGAGTGTGCAACAGAGGTATCCAGAGGTATTCAGCCTCCACTCCTAGCCCCACGCACAACATAACTTTATAAAATTGTGCGTTCAATTCTCCATTTATAATTACAGATTTATTTGACATGATACTGATTCTTAAAACAAAACTTTCGCGAGATGTGGGCGTCGCAGGCAAGCCCATTATTCCCCCATTCCTAACAACTCCCCAGAAGGTTGGTGCTGAGCTGCCTTCTCTAATTGCCTCTCAAGGTGGTGGTGGTGAGCTGCCTTTTTGAAATGCAGTAGACCCGAGGGAGATAACAAGGTGTAGAGCTGGATGAACACAGCAGGCCAAGCAGCATCAGAGGAGCAGGAAGGCTGACGTTTCGGGCCTAGACCCTTGACCCAGAGTGGCATTAGGAAGGAAAGTTCCACCATTTGAGCCAACAACACTGAAGGAATGGCAGCACAATTCATAAGAAATAGAAGCAGGAGTTGGCCATCTGGCTGGTTGAGCCTGCTCTGCCATTCAATCATGGCTGATCTTTTCATGGACTTAGCTCCACTTACCCTCCTGCTCACTTTAACTCTTAATCCCTTTTCTGTTCAAAAATCTATCTCTGCCTTAAAAACATTCATAAGGTAGCCTCAACTGCTTCACTGGAATTCCACAGATTCACAACCCTTTGGTTGAAGAAATTCTTCCTCAAATCAATCCTAAATGCTCCCCACATATTCTAGGAGGCTGTGCCCCCTAGTTCTAGTTTCACTCGCCAGTGGAAGCAATCTCTCTGCTTCTATCTTATCTATTCCATTCATAATTTTATATGTTTCTATAAGATCCCCCCCTTATTCTTCTAAATTCCAACAAGTATAGTCCCAGTCTACTCAATCTCTCCTCATAAGCCAACCCTCTCAATCCCAGAATCAACCCAAACCTCCTTCGTACCCTCTTCAGTGCCAGTCCATCCTTTCTCAAGTAAGGAGACCAGAACTGTACACAGTACTCCAGGTGTGGCCTTGTTAACATCCTGTACAGCCGCAGCATAACCTCCCTGTTTTTAAAACTCTGGCCCTCTAGCAATGATGGACAATATTCTATTTGCCTTTTTAATTACCTTCTGCAGCTGTAGCTTTGTGATTCATGCACAAGGACACCCAGGTCCCTCTGCATAGTAGCATGCAGCAAGTTTTCACCATTTAAATAATCATCCATTTTGCTGTTATTCCTACCAAGATGGATATCCTCATATTTGCTAACATTGAACTCCATCTGCCAGACCCTTGCCCATTCACTTACTAGGATGGAATGTGCCTTGGAGGGGAACTTGCAGATTATGGTGGTCCCATGCATCAGCCACCTTTGTTCTTCTAGGTGGTAGAGGTCGTGGGTTTGGAAGGTTGTACATTCTCATTGTTCTACACTATTTGCAACATATGTGGTGGAGAAAAGTACATTTTAACATGTAATATGGCTCACATGATGTTTCCTTGTTACATCTAACTAGATTGTTATGGTCTGGATAACCTGAGACTTTTCAGAGTCTTGGTTACAAGGGCCTTCCGGTTTCTACCCATTTTAATTCCCCCTCCCACTCCCCTGACGACATGTCCATCCTTGGCCTCCTACACTGTCAGAGTGAGGCCAAATGTAAACTGGAGGAACAACACCTGATATTTTGTCTTGGAAGCTTACAGCCCAAAGGCCTTAACATTGACTTCATCAGCTTCAAAATCCCTCTTTCCCCAGCCTTATCCCATGTCCATCCCTACCCCTCCTGACTTGACCGAACTTATCCATCTTCCTACTCACCTATCCCCTCCACCTTTCCCACGGACCAATCACAATAACCCTCTACCTGCATCTGCCTATCACCATCCCTCCTACCTTTCTCTCAGCCCCACCCCCTCCCTCTATTTATTTCTGGGCTCCCCTCCCCCTCCCCAGTCCTGACAAAGGGTTTCAGCCCAAAATGTTGACGTACCTGCACGTCAGATGCTGTCTGACCTGCTGTGCTTTTTCCAGCCTCACATCTATAGACATTGGCTTCCAATATCTGCAGTCCTTATTGTCTGACAATCTTATTGACTGGCAGGGGAACGGGTTTGGGGACTAAATATGCTTTTGTGTGAATCATCTTCTCTTGGAAATACACCATCATCCCTTCATTATCACTGGGTCAAAATCTTGGGACTGACTCCCTAACAGCACCAAACCACAGACTGCAGTGGTTCAGACAAGTAGCTCACCACCACTCTTTAGGGATGGCAATAAATGTTGGCGATATTCAGCAATTCCTGTGTCCTGTGAAAGGATAAAAAAACTGATTAGTTCCTTTTCCTTTTAAAATTCCGTGACAAAGAAACAATCAAGGGCTCAAAATAAGGCTTGTAATGAAAATAAAAGATATATTTCACAGTAACATAATCAATCCTAGCTATAACATTGTTGATTATAACTTTTGTCAGCTTTGTTTGAGCTGAGGGAAGTTGGAAGTATAATGGTAATGTCACTTGCTCAGTAACCCAAGCCTAATTCTCTGGGGATATGGGTTCAAATCCTGCTGTAACAGCTATTGCAATTTAAATTCAATTAACAAATCTGGAATTGAAAGCTAGTTTGTAAAATTAAACACTTTAAGGAAGGAAATCATACAGTGCAGAAGGGACTTTTAGCCTATTGAGTCTGCACTGACCTATCAACATTAATCCACTTTTCTGCATTTGACCCATAGCCTTGAATGTTGTGACATTTCTTGTGCTTTTTTAAAGGTTGTGAGCAACGTTCCCTCTAATTTTCTTGTCAGCTCCACGTGCTCACGCTGATCGCTGTGCATGGAACTTTGGAATGGCTGCACTCTTACACAGCATAGAGGGAATGTTAGCTGTGGGATTTCCCACCACAAGTACCCTCCCAGGCAGTGCCTTCCAGATTCCCACCACCCTCGGGCAGAAAACAAATCCTCAAATCGCCTCTAAACCTCCTGCCCTTCACCTTAAAATAATGCGTCCTGATTATTGACCCTTCAACTAAGGGGAGCAGCTGCTTCCTATCCACTCTGTCCATGCCCCATTATTATCTTATACACTTCAAATCAGTTGAGGATGCCCCTAAACTCTAAAGAAAACAACCCAAGCTTATATAGCCTCTCTTCACAGCTAAATTGCTATAACCCAGGCCACATCCTGATGAATCTGTTCTGCACCCTCTCTAGAGCAATCACATTCTTTCCCATAGTGTGATGACCAGAACTGTCACAGTTCTCCATCTGTGGCTGAAGCAAACTAAAATCCAATATAATCTCCTTGGTCTTATAATATGTGCCACAATTGATAAACACAAGTGTCCCGAATGCCTTTCTAACTACTGCATTACTGTGTCCTGTGACCAAACTCCTGAAGATCCCTCTGTTCCTCTGAGTTTCCTAGCGTCCCACCATTTGTTATGTACTCCCTTGTCTTGTTACTTCTTCCAAAGGGCATCACCTCAAACTTTTCAGGGTTAAATTCCATCTGCCCATCTGACCAACCTATGTACATCTTCCAATAACCTCAGACCTTCTTCCTCACTATTAACCACCCAGCCAATCTTTGTGTCATTTGTAAACTTACTTATCATCTCACCCCACATTGTCATCTATATCATTTATATACATCACGAACAATAATGGATGCATCATTGATCCCTGTTTCCAGTTTCCAGTTACACAAGCAGCCTTCTACCACCACACTTTGTCTCCTATGACTAAGCCAATTTTGGATCTATCTTGCCAAATTATCCCAGTTCCCATGTACCTTTACATTCTCTATCAGTCTCCCATGTGGGACCTTGTCAAAAGCTTTGCTGAAATCCATGTAAACTACATTGACTGCACCAGCCTCATCTACACACCTGATTACCTTCTTGAAAAATTCAAGCAAATGTTTTAGGCATGATCTCCTTCCGACAAAGCCATGCTGACTATCCCTGATAAAACTTTACCTCTCCAAGTGGAGATAAATTGTCTCCTTCAGAATTTTCTGCAATTGTTTCCTACCGCTGATGTGAAACTCATTGGTCAGTAATTCCCTGGTTTATCTCTACCACCCTTCTTGAAAAGTGGAATCACATTTGCTCCTGTTCTCTGACACCTGTGGACAGAGGAATTAAACATTTGGTTCAGAGCCCTGTAATTTAATCTGTTGCCTCCCACAGCAGCCTGGGATACAACTCATCCAGACCTGGGGAGTGCTTGTCCACTTTTAAGCCTTCAATACCTCCTTACTCCCTATGTCCATTTTTTCAAGAACATCACAAATCTCTCCCCAAATTGTGCATCTACATCCCTTCCCTGAGTGAAGACAGATATGAAGTACTCATTTAACACCCCCCCAACGTCCCCTGGTTCCAAACACAGATTGCCCCTTTGGTCCCTAATGGACCCTTCCTTTTTACTGGTTATCCTCTTTCACATGATATAGATCATAGAATCCCTACAGTGTGGAAGCAGGCCTTTCAGCCCATCGAGTCCACATCAACCCTCCAAAGATCATCCCACCCAGACCCACCCTAGCCTTGTAAATCTGCAATTCCCATGGCTGGTCAAACTTGCCTGCACATCCCCTGGACATTATAGGGCAATTTAGCATGGCCAATCCACCTGCCCTGCCTAACCATCTTTGGCCTGGGGTAGGAAAACAGAGTATGCAGAGGAAACCTACCAGGAGAATATGCAAACTCTGCACGGACAGTTGCTAAAGGATGGAATCGAACATAGATCCCTGGTGCTGTGAGGCAGCAGTGCTAATTACTGGGCCACTGTGCCGCCCGGTGTATATTCTATACTTGTAGCATATTCTGGGAGTCTCCCTAATTTTACCCACCAGTGTTTTTTCATGCCTCCTCTTTGGTATCCTAATTGCTTTCTTAAGTTCCCCCTGCAATTTCTATACACCATGAGGGCCTCCAATGAT